ATCAACAACGTCTTTCTGTCTATTCGTAATTACATTTTGGATAGTTTGTATTATCATTTAAGACATCTGTAACATAATTGTGACTAGTCGAAATGACAGAGTATGGCAAGCCGTTTTAACATTTAATCATAAAAGGGCCAAAGCCTTCGGCACCGCCACCCGGGTGCCTTTAGGTAACTAAAGGAACCGGGGTTGCGGTGCCACCGGCTTGGGCCCGCCATCGCTGCTCGCAGCTATATTTTATTATTCTTCTTCTTCTTTTTATTTTTCTGCTACCTTTTGGGCATTTTTGGGGCCCTTAACATGCTCGAAAACTCTTGAAACTTTGCACACGGGTCAGAACCCGCGGCCATCAGAGCCGGGCTGAAGATGGTACCCGGGCGTGGCAGGGCGGCTCGTCAGCGCCCCCTGGAACGGGGTCCGAACACTTGGTCCATAACTCAAACACGCTTGTATGTAATAATATGAAACTCGGTACACATGTTGATCTCATCGTTTCATCTATACCTCGCGCTCTTACTTTTTACCCCAGCTCAACAGGAAGTCGGCTATTGAGGTTTGTTTGTAAAACGCTCGCAATGGAATGTCAAATACTCCTCCTAGAGCTTTGATCCAAATTCGACTAAAACTCAGTCAGCGTGAAGTCAAGACATTGAGGATGAAAGTTTGCGAGGGGATTTTTGATATCTCGAACGGTTTGTCCGTGGCGAGGAAACGAAATCATGGCGAGAAACGTGAAACAGGAAGTGTGTTATAACTTCAGCATACATTAACTGATCTTGATGAAACTTCAGCAGTGTGTTCGCTGTAAGAGGACGATCACATGGATGTGACTATTGTGAGTCAAAGTTATAGCGCCACCAACTGGCAGCAGGAAGTGTGTCACTTTCAAAATGCTTTGATATCACCCTTTTATTTTTACCCGATTTGCTTCAAACTTCATCTGTATAATGTAAACATACGATAGATGTAGACCTGTGAATGGATTCTTGATATCTTTGAAACTGTTGCCGTGGCGACGCATCAAACTTTACCCTTCTTTTAGGATGCTTTTAGGATGCTTTTGAGACCCTTAGCATGCTTCAAAATGCATGAAACTCGACAGACACATCACATTTATTAGCCAGTAGACATGTGCAAAGTTTCAGAAACGGGCGTGGTGAGGGCTCAGTAGCGCCACCTTTTGACAAAAGTGGGGTTGTTAGTTTTAACTAGAGTTACAAAAATTGGTATGTATATTGTACTCCTCGAGCCGGACAACTTTCTAATTTACACTTATTAGCTAGGACCCACAGAAACTCAGATATTTTTGTTTGAATATGGTCACTCTGAGCCTACATGTCTCTGTGTCTTTGGCTGGCTGGCTGGCTGTCTGTGTGTGTGTGAGTGTGCAGGGGGAGGGGGCTTAACCATTTCACTGCTGTGTGTATGACCTGCATAAAGAAAATACATTTCTCAAGCCTGGTATTTTTTAAATAAGTTTTTATTTTTATTTTTTATAAGTAAAGACATATAACTAGTTTAATTGTAGTGCATTGACAATAGTTTTATATAATTAGTTTATTAATCAGATTAACTTGGTCAATAAACTTGGTCTGAAAATTTGGTCCATAAATCAAACACACTTGCATGTAATAATATGAAACTTGGTACACATATAGATCTCATCGTTTCATATATAGCCTACTTCACACTCTTACTTTTTACCCCAGCCCAACAGGAAGACGGCTATTTAGGGTTGTGTTTAAAACACATGCAATGGAATTTAAAGTATTGCTCCTAGAGCACTGAACCAAATTCGACAAAACTCGATCAGCGTGAAGTCAAGACATTAAGAATGAAAAGGTGCCAAGGAATTTTTTATATCTCGAACGGTTTGGCCGTGGCGAGGAAACGAAATTATGGCGAGAAACATGAAACAGGATGTGTGTTATAACTTCAGCATACATTAACTGATCTTGATGAAACTTCAGCAGTGTTTTCGCTGTAAGAGACCGATCACATGGATGTGACTATTGTGAGTCAAAATTATAGCGCCACCAACTGGCAGCAGGAAGTGTGTCACTTTCAAAATGCTTTGAAACCAATCTCTTATTTTTAACCGATTTGCTTCAAACTTCATCTGTATAATGTAAATACACGGCAGATGTAGACCTGTGAATGAATTTTTGATATCTTTGATACTGTTGCCGTGGCAACGAATCGAACTTTAACATTCTTTTTTGATGCTTTTGGGACTCTTAGCATGCTTGAAATTGCTTGAAACTCAACAGATACATCACATTTATTAGCCAGTAGACATGTGCAACTATGGCAAAAGATTAAAGTAATGTCAAAAAAGTAAACACTAAAAGCCTCATATCTTCTAAAAATGTAATTATACATCATTTGTTTCTAAATTAAATTATACAAATATTATAACTTCCCCAATTTTTCCTTTTTTTCATTTAAGAATTATGTTTACGTTCAAAAACAGCCATAATTGTTGTAAAATTCATAAAAAAATAATAATCTGAGTCATACGTAGTGCTATACTGCCCTCTTGTGTTCAATATCAGGTAGGCCTATTGTGTATATTCCCACCGGTTAATCAACGTGTGACTCCGCTGGGACTTGGGAGCTTTTAAATCGCTTACTTAAAATCGAAAGTCGAAATACGGATGTCCGCACAAGACATTAATGGTGTGGAGTAGAGCGAGCATTTTAAATAAATTCCTATTAAGTAGGATTGAACTAAACAGAAAGAATGTTCACTCTGTTCTGCTGGTTCCTCGCTGGTGGATCATATGATTACTTTGTCATAATCTATGACAAAAATGCTATTATAAACCATATTAATAATAGATAATACACATTGCTCTTATTTTTGAAAAATACATTCATGAAAAACAAGATAACAAAAATCATAAAAAAAATATAGCCATGGCTGCTATAAATGTTTGAAATGCATAGGACAGATGTTTAATGACGCAGCAACATATAATTGAAAGGCAATTAATAATCTGTCATTACGTCACTGCATTATGATATTACGGCTCCGATACGGTGCAGCACAAAGCACTTATGTGCATCCCGAGCGGAGAATGATGTGCTTGAAGCCACATGAAGTTACAGCGCAGTGAATCCGTATTGAAAAGTTCAAAGCACAAAGGAAATACATATTTATGAACAGTGTATTATACATTATCTATCTATGCAATAGTTTATTGAGCCTTCTCTTTTAAAGGTTTTAAATTTCAGTTACTGTGTGCGTGAAGAACAATTATAGTGCTCTGACTCTAGTGTTGTGATCTAACCGACAGCGTCCGACACCCGGTAGAAAGTAACACGGTTAAGTTACAGCAATAAAGTCCAGCAAGAAAAAGTTTCTTCATTCGAAAATATAGACATTTAGACCTTTATCTTAAAGATCCAGTATAATAGGATTAACATTCAATCATCTTGAAGATCGTTTCATCATTGACTGTAACCGAATATGACGTGCTGTTTGAATGCTGAATGGAGAATGACTGACAGGCGCAGAGAGGGAAAAGTTTGTGTTCTTGAATTTAATGACTTAAATATTAATTTCTATATCACATAATAGCTTCAGAACACTAATAATACAGTACACAAAAACTTTATGGTACTTTAGAAAGTTTTTGTGCCTTTGTGCCTAACATAGAATAGTATATATGCACAATATAGAATTTGAATCAGCCTCGTCAAAGATGGCAGTGTCAGAGCCGATACCGATCCTGAGTATCTAATCGGCGCACTTCTTTTCAACATTCAAATTTGAAATTGAAATTGCTTGAAACTCAACAGATACATCACATTTATTAGCCAGTAGACATGTGCAAAGTTTCAGAAACGGGCATGGTGCAAGGACTAAATAGCGCCACCTTTTGACAAAAGTGGGGTTGTTAGTTTTATCTACAGTTACAAAAATCGTTATATACATTGTACTTCTCAAGCCGGACAACTTTCTATTACATAGTCATTAGCTCGGACCAAGAGGAAGTCAGATATTTTGGTTTGAATATGGTGAGCCTCTCTCTGAGCCTACGTCCCTGTATGGCAAGCCCTTTTAACATTTAAAAGCAAAGTTTGCCTATCCGGAATTAACATTGTAGATATCAACAACGTCTTTCTGTCTATTCGTAATTACATTTTGGATAGTTTGTATTATCATTTAAGATATCTGTAACATAATTGTAACTAGTCGAAATGACAGAGTATGGCAAGCCGTTTTAACATTTAATCATAAAAGGGCCAAAGCCTTCGGCACCGCCACCCGGGTGCCTTTAGGTAACTAAAGGAACCGGGGTTGCGGTGCCACCGGCTTGGGCCCGCCATCGCTGCTCGCAGCTATATTTTAGTTTATTTTTTTTAACGTTTTTTTTATTAAAGACAATCAAGTAAGCCCAGCCCAGGTGAGGAAAAACTAACGTACTAAATTACTTTCCATATAAAGTAACTACCGTAAGTAATGCATTACTTACTTTTTCATTGAGTAATGTAATAATGTTATTTTTAAAAGTATCCCCAATACTGGAAATATATAATAATAAACAGTATGTAAAATATACATTTATTTTCATATTAATTTTTATCTAAATATACAGAAATTAGAACATTAAAAAATTATATAAATTAGATACGAATTACATGATTTTAATATATTAGTACAAAATAACACCTACAACAAATGCTATTTTACATATCTGAGGATATCAGTCTTTGAAAAGATCTGGCTGTTACCAGTGTAAAGTTAGGACCCGTTTATGATACAGTACATATTGCATTCCTGGGGAATACCAGTGAAAGTACAGGAACAACAGCCTGAGGGGAAGAAATCAGCTGCTTTTGTATTTCCTCCATCTGCCATTTAATAAAGAGGTAGCATAGACAGCAGCAAACTAGAAACTGAATTTAAATACATGTGAACTGACCTGTACCATGGACAACAGAACAAAACCATTTCAGTGCAAAAAGCTGGAGGTTAGAATTGTTAAGGTTCATTTACTCTGAATGTTGGGGCTGTAAGGGTCTTCGATCCGAATAGCAGGGTCAAGAACACGGTAAATCACCTGAGAGCAGAGAAAGTGCAGTTCAGCAAACAAATTACAAACAAATGAACTGATGCAAAGTATTACAAATGAATAGCCTCTCACCTCTCCTTCTGTCGACGGCTCGATGTCAGAATATCTGGATTCGCAGATAACATCATCAACCTTACGAAGGGGACCCTGAGAAATTCCCGGGAAGTTGGACTCACAGTCGGATGCGAAGTAGCGGTACACCTGCCAGGTTCGGCCAAAATCTGCAGATCGCTCAATTAACATGGCTGCTGGACGGAAAGTCTGTGTACAAAAACAATTAACAGTAGTTTTGGAGTGTTTCAAGGGTGAAGGTTATTTCTTGAAGGAAAAAAAACAAACAATCTTACCTTAAATGTCATGATGAGATGAGTAAAGTGAAACTCTGCCTCCAGGTCCAGCTGAAGGTAAACATCAGATTTCCCTGAGAAGAGAAAAGAGATCATGTCCACATTAATGATCCAAGGCGTCAACAATGACTATTAGAACAATTACACAAAAGTCCCCTCTGTTGTAATAAAATGATGTTGTGTAAAGAACTAAATTAAAACAAATACTCCTTCATTACTGTTTTATCCTTATCAAATATAACCACTTTTGACCCTAAGGAAAATATTATGTCTTAAAACACTTTTTTCACACTTTTTTTTTATTTGTCTACTAAGCAGTTGACTAGGCTGAATAATATTAAAATCTAATAAATAATCTAATAATAATTTTAATAATAATAAAATCAATTAATCTATTATTTAAATAAAATGGCCAACTTCCCAATGATACTTTAATCGCTATAATGTAAACTAAATAAAATAAATCAAATATTTTTTATGCTTTTTTGCATAATTTACCCAAATTGCAGATTGATAAGCATATTTTGCTATTTTTTTTTGTAACCCATAAAACAAAATATAAAGGTTACTGACAGAAAACTGTACGTTTTAATACAACTCATAGGTTATAAAAATGGTTATAAAAATAATAAGATTTTGCTCTATATGTTGGTTCATTTTATCATGTTAATGACTAACAGATCCTGATTACCATTTTACTTCTAAAACATTCTTTAATATTAAAAAAGGAAATAAATCTCTTTGTTAACCAACCATACTCCAAACCTTTATTTAAACTCATCTTTGCTAGCAGACTGCCGGTGTTATTGTGCCCTCATTGTAAAACAGAGTACATCTGAAATTATTTCAACAACACCAGTGCTGCAGTGCAAGAGTTCTCACATTTTCCTTCCTCAAACACTTTATCTGGAAATGTAATAAGGCTCTGACTCAGAATAACAATGAACAACCATATGCACGTTACAAGCACGGTGTCCTAGTGACTGAGCAGAGCTAGAGATAGATGAGGTGGTTCAACAATCTACTTTTGTTCTGTTCAGTTTCTACTTGACAGTTCATTATTCATCTGGAACGACATACGGTGTGTATTCTGCTGAGGTGGTACCATACAGAGCTCACCTGTAACTCCCAGCATTACCAATACAAAGCTGAGTGCACTGCAGCAGCCCTTTGTGTGACTGCTGGATCTAACCTATGTTTCATAATCAACAGCTAAACAGGAAGGAAAGGGACGCTGAGGAAAAGAGAGAGACAGGTTGTACCACAAGAGAAGAAAATGAGGGACTAGAGCGCAGGGAGAGGCCAGCGGAGGTCAAGTGGAGCACAAAAGGAAATTGATTGAATGACATGCTGTTTTTTCAATTCACGTTTCGGCTGAAGGAGGAAGTTGTTAAAGGCGTTAAGCCTCAATTCAGAGCACATACCAAAGAGCCATGAAAAAGACTACTCTTATGTGCAGCGCCAGATTTACCCTAAACACATGACACATCATGAAGAAACCCAAAGAAAAGGCAGTTCCCATTAACAGGGTAATGGTATTTTCATTATTTTATTTTAATATTTATCTTCTATCCACCAGGGAAACTTTGTTACTATAGACATACCCCCATATTTTTGTCATCATTGTGAACATTAAATATTTATCAAATTAAATAGACATAATTGCCAATAAAAGGGTTGGATATTCAGCCTTATTAAGCTGTCACTAAATAGGAGGCAACTAGTTTGGGAGGGACCAAACTTTAGTTTCTAGTTACTGATGTATTTTCATTTAAAGTATTTGATCATTTTCAGTTGATACAAGTAATTGCACACCACAATGTACCGTATCTGGTATCCACTTAATATAATACCAAGCAATAGAGGGACATGACAGGAGCCACTTGTAAGACACACAAGTGCTGAACAACTGATCTACTGTTTATTATAAAGCATTGTTACAGAAAAGTCACTGAAGCCATAGTAACTATGAGCAAAAATAGTGACCATTTCCTGAAAACGCCCATACTTAATTCACTCATTTCACTGAGCACAGAGAAGACACACATCTGACACACGGGGGCCTCCCTCATGCACTTAAACTATTAAAGGAACTTTGTTCAGATGTAAAGAGGTATTGTTTGGGATAAAATGACAAATAAGATCTAAATATAATTTCAGCCCATCAGTTTTTGGAAAGCTTCTCTGTAGCTAAGCTACAAGCTAATTAAAGTAGTTAAAATTCAGTAGAGTATAAGAAAACAAAACAAAAAGAAGCTAACTAAAAATAGCACTCCGTTTATATCTAAATATATTACTTCATATTGAGTTATATATTTATATCTAAATAGCTTTTGAGTACACAATACAATGTGACATTAAAAACAACCATTTAGCTTTTAACGCACTGCTACCTGTTAAAAAATAACTTGTTAACTAGACAATCAACATTATGTTTTTAAATAGATCAACATGCAAACATGTAGTTAAGTTAGTAGTCACTACTTTTAGTTAGTAACTCCCCAACACCCAACACTGTAGCCCACCAGTGCACTTAACAGAGTGAACAATAAATGCTGTAGGATTAAGTTCAGGTATCATCCTGCATCTTTTTCTTGCTCTTATTGTAGTTTTCTGTCCTTCCATCCTTCTCTTCCAAGTTCTGCTCTATTAGAGTTTTGGTTTCCTCTTTCTCTTTCATCCTCTCTGTCTCTCTCTGTGGGTATGCCAGCAACAGGCGGTCTGTAATTATCTCTAATACTGCAGGGCATAGGGAGTGAGTGTATGTCAGGGACAGGGTGAGCTTGGACATCTGAGCTTTGAAATACAGGCAAATATGCTAACAAACTTCCTCAGTGTCTGCATTTACGTCCATTCTGAACATCCATCATTCTTACTTGTCAATTTAAGTTGTTAATGGCCTGTATTGCCAATTTAGCAACTTTTCAGACACCTCTAGCGACTTTTTCGTACAAAAATGCGACTAGTGACAATTCTAGCGAGTTTTTGAACTGCTGGTTAACATGTAGTCAGTCATTTCATACTCTTTCCATGCAAATGAGAACAGTTTTATTGGACATTTCTGCTTAATATTGTATTAAAATACAGAGCAGAAGGAGAGGAAAACGGTACGAAGAAGTGCCGACAGTTGGCGCTAACGTCATCTTTACTATGGAGACTATCACTGTGGACTGTTGGCTAGTTATCATCATCAAAATATGGAAATAAATCACATTATTGACCCTTAAAGCCACTTTTTGTATGTGTATTCATTACTGTACGTATTTAACGTAATGAATTATCCTCATTTGGGTCTTTTGTCATCAAATAGAGATTACATGGTTATTCATTTGATTAGTTATTAGCATATGTAATTTCTACTTGTAATTATAAATACTACAAGTTTATTATATATTTATATTTACATTCAATTTACATAAGGGTCGGTAAGATGCAATGTACTCGAAATGGGTCTCTATAATGCTTGCCAAGGCTGAAATACAGTTAAAAACTGTAACTTGGGAATATATTATTACAATTCAAAATAATTGTTTTCTATTTGAATATATTTTAGAATGTAATTAATGTTCACATTAATTGAACTGTGATGGCTGAATTTTCAGCATCATTACTCCAGTCTCCAATCGTTCTAATATGCTGATTTGCTGC